GCAGAACTGCGTCGACAGAACCCGAGAATCTCCGAGGACGATATCCGTGTTGCTATGAGCAAGTCGAACCTCGTGCTGTACGATATTCCGACTGTGACGAACAACTGCATGCAGGAGCTACTTGACGAGTCCGACGAGGCCACAGCCTATACGACGCGGGACACTCTGCGCAAAGGATTTGGGGGTATTGTAGACGACTTGATCAGCTCAGGAACGAGTAGTAACGGCACACTTCTTACTGCGGGACAATACGCGTACAAGATCGCTGACAAGGCAGCAACGTTCTATGCTGTTTGGGACAAAACGAACATCGGTGGAGCGATCTCCGAGTTTTTCCAGACCATCTGTGGCCCTACAGAGTATGTCGGTGAAATTGATGATGGTAGTGCGAAAGACGCGCTGGGTCTAAAGACTGTCAAGGCGGCTTTCAATAACAGCGCTGGCAACTGGACGAAGAAGGGTGACGGCTCTGTCGTCATTACGTTCAAGAGTGTCGACACAAAGGATGTGACTGTGAATATCAAATCTGGAGGTAATAAGATCGATGAAGTGTCCGTCGCGGCGGGTAAAACTGTGACGTGGAGATCAAATGTGACGGTTTTGGGTGGCAAGACGTTGTTTTTTGACCGCTGGCGCCCGGGCTTCCTAGGTCTCCCCGGTACGGGCGGTGGCTCACTGCTACTGTGGGTGCCTCGATCAACACAAGGCGGCAATCTGCGGCTGACCGCAATGCTCAATGTGAGCTGAGTTTAGTTTTAGAGTTTAGAGGAGAGAGATCTCCATTATTGATTAGTGTAGTGAGTACTTCTGGTGTGAAGAAATCGTTTAAGTTATGCTAAAAGTGAATAGATAATAAGTCCTACTATTTATGCAGCGAGTACATGTACATGCATGACCTGAAATGTGTACTTGTCTCGATCTCCCGTTTTGGCTCATTTATGGGAGTTGAGCACTTTCTTCAACGAAGTAATATTTAGGTTGTCTTAAAACATTTAATGTCTTTCATTTTTAGATTTGTTTTACAGGTTTATTTAAGAAACCTATAAAACAAATTTAAAAATGATGCAAAAGCCTATACTTTAAAAAAGCATCGTTGATTTTTGCATTATTACAGTTTTTTTTCAACTTTGATTCAACTTAAGAAATTGATAGGCGAGGCCTCCATAAGATTCAGAATGTATGTAACGCAGTTCAAACGATATTTTCTTGACGTGATTTGAATTAAATAAACGGAATGATTCTAAACACCACTGCTGAGCTCACAAGGCGACACTCCAGCGATTGACTTATATCCCAACGTCTGCAAGCAGGGGCTTATGGTAACCCAGTATCATTCGATATTTTTTATAGGAATAGTACTACTATTTGATTTTAAATATCAATAGTAGGTTTGTTTTTGAGCTCGCAATTTGGCTAAATATTAACTCAGAGGTTTGAAAACTATTAGATTCAAGATGATATTTTTTTAAATTCCCACTTAAGTACGTTTCTTACCTCTTGCCCGAGGGCTTACCAAAGAACTCTTTCGGTCAAGCTCTAAAGCAGCAGTAGTGATAGCAGGCTTTAAAACTGGAGTATTTTTCCTAGTATTTCACTGTGACACAGACTAAGCCGATCGAGATGGAGAACTGCAAACGGCTGCAGCTGTTTGAGGGACAAAATGGGTGCCATGGGTCTTTGCAAAGCATTGGCAATTAGACCTAGATTGGCGATGGCTCAAATTAAGCCTCAATCACTCGTGTCGACGCGGAAGACGTGATGGATCATTGTCAAGTCCATAATAGTAGATGTGAGGAAACCGTCGTATATTGAGAAGTGAGAGGAAGCTAACTACGTTCTACTCGTACCTTGCTTCTTCCTCTGGCCATTCATCCTCACACCTTATTCCGCAGTTGTCCCATCCGGAGAGCGGCCGGGCGAAATGCCACTATACCGTAACCGTGGTTACACTCGGTTACAAATCTTCTTCTAACACTCCTCCTCGCTCGTCGCGCTCGCCAGCTACTACTCCAACATGAAAATCTTCCGAAGCTCGTCCAATCTGGCTGCCGGAAGCGCCTTCGTGAGAAGGTCGGCCTTCATTAGTCGTGACTCCACATATTCTGGTTTGATCACACCTCGCCGTGCAAAATCGCAGATGAACTTGACTCGGATGTCTACGTGCTTTGCACTGGACATACTGTCTTCGGTCTCTAGCTTCCTGATGGCGGCCTGGTTGTCCATATACATGGTCATTGGCTCTACCACCGCAAACTCCAGCTCCCTAACGAGTTCTCGCAGTCCAAGCAGCTCACGTCCGACATTTGATGCTGACGTAAATTCTGCTTCCATCGTGGATATCACAGAACCAGTCTATTTCTTACATATCCACTGCACGATGGCCCCGTCGAGAGTGATCACTCCGCCGGTCACCGACTTCCTGTCGGCCTTATCCGCCGCGAAATCCGCATCACTCCAGCTTTCCAGACAGATCCGTCTTCCACTGGCTGCGTCTACTCGTATTTTGACCTTTAGTTCCTTTGTCTGCTTCAAGTACCTAGCGATCCGCTTCGCGAGCTTCCAGTCGTTTACGGTAGGCTGATGGGTGCGTCTCGTGGCCTTGTGGACCGCAAAGCTAATGTCTGGTCTCGTACAGCGAGCTATCCATAGCAGGCTGCCGACGAGAGACTGGAAACTTCGTTTTGTTGGCTCTCCGCGCCCTCCTGACTGCATCAACAGCTGCGGTGCTCCTTATTCGGCTTCGTTACATTCTTCTCCGATTGGTGCGCGTACTCCGTTTGCGTCCGCGAGCCCGTACTGCTCCAGTAGCTCTTCAATCGCAGCTTGCTGATCCAACGAGTAACCGTCCGATTCATGAAGCTCTACACGCATGCCCAAGAACTTTCGTACCACACCCAGATCCTTAATGGATAAAACACTCATCGCTTGAAAACAATCTTCGACTAGCTCTGGTTTGGAGGCCGTCACTAGAAGGTCATCCACATACACTCCTACCAGAGTCATGTCGCTGCCGTGCTTCTTGTAGTACAAGCACATGTCGGTAACGCACCTAGTGAAACCGATCTCCTCCAACTTAGCGTGTAGTAGCTTGCTCCACAAGCGCCCCGCTTGCTTCAAACCATACAGCGACTTCTTGAGCCGCAGCACCAGCTTGCTGCTGGTGTCCACGCCGAGAGCGCGTAGCACCGCCTCAGATATTTGCATGCCCTTTGGTATAGCCAGATAAATCTCCAAATGTTGCTCTTTGTCCGCCTTGACGTACGCGTTTGGTATATCCCCGTGTCGGGCAGGCACACGCCAGCGCCGAGCAAACACCAGCACTATCTTTACGGTGCTCAGCTCCATTACCGCCGCAAACGTGAGGTTGTAATCAATGCCAAAGAGCTGTTCGTTTCCGCAAGCAACCAACCGAGCTTTGAACCGCTCGATGGCGCCGTCGGCGTCCGTCTTGGTCTTAAAGACCCATTTAGTGTGCAGTACGTGGCTGCCAGTTGGCGGTACCTCGACTGTCCACACTCCGTTATCTTCAAGAGCTCGCAGCTCTTCTACCATAGCAATTACCCACGCGTCCTTGAGCCCACTCTTCATTGCTTGTCCATAGTTCTTGGGGTCCGCCTCACGCACGCTATTTACCACGTCGTGTATCGCCCCATCCTGACTATTATCGTCACTAGTCGTTCCTGCTCCAGCAGCCTTTTGAGTAGTCGACCTCGTCCGATGCCTTTCCCGTGTCCAACCGCCCTTGGACTTCCTTTTGGCTTTCTTTTTCCCTTTCGATCCCGCTCCCGTACTGGCAGCATTCGCATTGCGGTCCTCCTCGTTTGTCTCTTCCGACTCCTCGAGGTGTACGCGCCTCAGCTTCTCGTTCTGTACGTCCGTGAGCGTCTCCACATTCCGTACGTGCTGGGTCACCACGACCACTTTGTCCTTAGGGATGTAGACTCTGTACCCCTTCATCTCATCGCTTTTACCAACGATTATCGCAGCTTTACCGCGTTCTCCTAGCGACTTGTTCTTGGCGTCTGTGTGTACCGTGCACGGAGACCCAAACACCACGATGTCGCTGAGGTCGGGGGTGCTCTTCGTGAGCATCTGCAACGGCGACTTGGACCCGGGGTTTGCCTTACTCGGGCTCCTATTCAGTATGTACGCCGCGTACTCTGCAGCGTCTCCCCAGAAGCTGAGTGGCAGACCACACGCGAACACCATGCTTCTCACCATGTTCATAATGGTGCGGTGCATTCGTTCTGCTTTTCCGTTGCTGGCTTGATTCCTGGGCTCGCTTACTTGCCGCGCAATGCCAGTTTCTTTACAAAACAAATCTAGAGTCTGGTATTCACCTCCTCCATCCGTCCGCAGCACATGGATACGACAGTTAAACTGGCGCTCAAAGAACGCCATGAAGTGTTTAAACTTCTGAGCAGCAACGTCCTTCGTCCGTGCCAAGAAGATCCTGCAATAGTTCGTCCTGTGATCGACGAAGTTCACCATGTACCTGTTGCCGAGTCTGTCTCTTGGCGTCATTGGTCCCTTGAGATCTGAGCATATAACACCGCCAATGACGTCGATAGGTGCGTTGGCTCCTGTGTCCTTTCTGGACTGTTTGTTCTTCGTTTGCTTTCCTTGTGCGCAGGCCAAGCAGTTCGCTCGCTTCTCATCCGTGAGAAAGATTCCAGACGCAGGATTCTTGGCCATCTTGAGGATAGTATCGTAGTTCAGATGTCCTAGGCGGCGGTGAAAGTGCATCAGCGTGCCCCTCTGTACGTCTTGTCCTACCTCCTCATTCTGTTCGCTTGGCGCCAGTACCGACATGAGTACGTCGCCGGCGCTTCTTTTACGCCCCTGTACTTGCGCGCGCACCACCAACACGTTGTTGACTTTCTCTACGTCGAACACTGCTGGTCCTCCAGTCATTGCAGCAACTACACGATGTTGTCCTCGGTAGTCAATCTTGTAGCCTTTCTTCTCTAGCATTCCGTAGGAGATAATGTTCTGCTCCAAGTTCTCTGCGTACTGAACATCCAGTAGTCGCACCGTAGTTTTCTTTCCCATAGCCATGGTTTCCAGCACTATGCTGCCACGCTTGGTTACCCTCAGAGCTCCTCCGTCGGCAGCAACACACTCGCTCTCGAAGTCCTCTGGGTCTTCAAGCAAGTCCTCGTCGTTAACGAGGTGCCGACTTGATCCAGTGTCGAGGATCCATACACCTTTTTCATTGACTGAGTTATCCACTGCCAGGACAAAATCCGCTCTGGCGCCTCGCTCAGTCCCTCTTCGTTTGTTGTTCGGGCACAATGCCTTTAAGTGCCCAACCTTTCCGCATTTAAAACACTTCCTGTCGTCTATACGATCATCGTGTACGTTGTTCACAACGTCACGTCCCAGGTTCTTACCTCGTAGCTCGATCTCCGTGGACTGTGCAAAGTGGGCCAGCTCCTCCGCTTGCCGCAGGTAATCCGTCCGGCCAAGTTTCAGTCTGGACAGCATCGACACTCTCATCGACGCGTCCGCGTAGTGGACGATGTTGTCCAAGACGAGGTTGTCGGCGCCTCCACACGCCTCACTCACAGCCACCAGGTAGAGATAGTGTTCAGTCCAGCTGCGCTTGGAGCTCTTTGGCGCTGTAAACATCTTCATGCTCTGGGCGGGCGTTATCTTGGTCGCGAACGTGTGCAGCAACCGCTGCATGGCGTGCTCCAACGTCGGCTCCTCTTCCCACCACCCCTCAACCTGCTGGTTGTAGTATCTCTCAGCCATGCCGGTAAGGTGATGACCGAGGACATCCACCTTTACTTCCTCTGTCCACGTGAAGCCACTTGCGCGTTCCGCAAATAGTATCTGACGCACGAACCGTTTGCCCCAAGACAGAAAACCACTGCCGAGGCCTTGATACAGCTCCTTGCCGTCGAAGTGACGGATGCCAAGCTTCCGTTGGCGCGTATCCGGCACACGAGGAAAACCCTGAGCTGGAGCCGGCATGCCGTGCGGCATGGTTGGCGGCTGAACGTGCGCCTGGTACATGCGCGGGGGCACGTAATGCTGTGGCAGCGCTGGCTGAGGAGCTTGTGCCATCTCCACGTTAGCCGCTGCGTTCTTGAACCCGTAGCCGCGCTGCTTCACACCGAAGTACGTGGCTGGAGACATTGCCGGGGAATTCCTTGTTGGCGTCCTATCCAGTGCTTCTCGGTCCATGGCCCTTCCTAGGCCTATGGCCGACTCGAATACACTTGACTCCGTTCCAGCGATCCGCTGCTGCTCCTCCTGTCGCTTCTGCGACTCCTCTAGGCGCTCCTTGCGCTCTGTGAGGCCGGTGAGGAGATCCACCAGCTTCTGCTGTGGGTCCCTCGTCTCCTTGACTTCGTCGTCGCCTCCGTACTTGCTGCTGTCGGTCCTTTCGCGATCGACATCTGCGTCCGGATGCCCGCGGGCTGACTCCGCGGCGACAGTATCGTTGCTTGGGCTCATAACCTATTAGTAGATGTGAGGAAACCGTCGTATATTGAGAAGTGAGAGGAAGCTAACTACATTCTACTCGTACCTTGCTTCTTCCTCTGGCCATTCATCCTCACACCTTATTCCGCAGTAGTCCCATCCGGAGAGCGGCCGGGCGAAATGCCACTAAACCGTAACCGTGGTTACACTCGGTTACAGATCTTCTTCTAACAAGTTTAGCGGTGTGTAGATCCAGACCAAGCAAGTAAAGTATGGAAACTCGTCTGTATGGAATAGTTGATCAAAGTTTTGAGTTTTAGTACAGTAAATTAGTATTTTAAAGTGCGCAGCGACATCTATTCACTCCATTCCTTATGACGAGTGAGCGCGGTATTAGCAGCTTTCAACGCGCGGTTTTTCTTGCGCTAGGGTGCATGACGAACGATCCGTGGATACGTTAGGCTTATAGAGCGCATCTTCTTGATTGAAAAGTTGAGCAGTCGTACCTCTTCCTCAAGTAATTTCTTCAAACGCTGGCACTCCGCTCTGTCATCAGCTTCTCGCGCTCTCTGTCCAGATCGGGGCCGAAATCTGTCGCCTTTTCTGTCTGATTGTGCATCGTATTCCGTTTGCTCATTGTCGAATGGATCGTCGAGCGATTGATGCACTCGATCGCGAAGAGCTGCTGCATACGTCGGTTTAGTTCTCCGCACTGGAGCTGAGACCGGACGGGAGAGCTTGAGTCGATTAATCGCTGCTGGCATCGGCAGGCCAGAGTGCGAGTTGTGTATGGGGAGTCGTCCGGCTGCAGGCGTCATCTAGCACAGTTCAGGATTTAGAACTGACTAAATCTAGAACGATACATGTCGATTCATACAATAGCTTTCACGTGTCGGAGCTTCGTTGGGTCTGCAAGGATATTCTTCGGTAATGCAAATGTTCTGAAACGAAACCAGCACAGCGTTAGTAGCGCTGGCCACTTGAGCATCTTCACTCAATGTTTGCACCGTTGACTTGTATCCACTGCGCTTACTAGCCGCCCAACGTATGTGTAGAGGTCCAGACAGTCCTCACGGATATTCTGCAGGACACGCATTAGTTTACAAAGGTAATTCAGAATAGAGCTCAACGAGTTCACCCACATCCACAGTGTCGGTGGTGGTCTGCTGTAGTTGCTGTAGCTTGTTGTTTGCGACGTTGAGTTCTTCACTTTTGCTCGCTAGAGACTGTTCATACTGTTTTTGACAAAATTTGTAGGAAATAAAGTTCAAAATACAGAACTACTTCAAGTAACTGTTAGAAGCGACAATACCTGTTGTCGAATGAGAGAAATCTCATTTTCTTTCGATTTCTGCAAAGCTGCCACTCGATGTTGAAGTTTCTGAGCAACAACAAACCCGGCATTTGTGCAATGAGTTGGCATGTTGAACGTCAAAGTGCATATCGTGAACATTCTTACCTGCTCAAAGTGCTTTTCACGATCTTTTGAATTGTCGCAATCCTCACCTTGCAGATTAATGATGGATTGCTGGTAGATGAGCATCTTTTCACTACTGGAGTGCATGTGGTTATCACGGCGAACAAGAGTCTGCATTTCGTCTCGATGTCGTGCTGCCTCGGATGCCAATGCGCGATCATATTCACTCGTTTTCTGCTGCAAACAGCTCTGCAGCGTGGCAATCCGTCGCTTCTGTTCGTTAATAGTTTGTCTCGCATTTTCCTTGTCTTTATTTGCTTCAGTCTAGAAGCAACGACATCGTCTTTATCAAATAAAAAAATCACAGTTCAATGCCTAGACGCTCACCACAACCACCGCGAAATTACTCTTTGCATTGGCATATTTCTGCCGTAAGCGGTCTCTGTCGTTCCGAGTTTCTATCGCTGTTTTCAGAGCAGTAAGCAGATTAGTGAGCAGACTCTGAGTCTTAATAAATGTACAGCCGCATACCATTTGCTCTTTGTAAGCCTTTGGTGATCCCGTGGTGCTTGCCTTTCAAAATTGCACTCGAATCTACAGCACTTTGTCCGTGGTCCTCGTCTGAGAAAACAGACTTAAGCACCAGACCATCCTACACGTATACACAGCGTGTCAGTAGTCTGGTTAAGTCTACAAACGGTGTTTAACGTATTAACGCACCGCAAACTTAATTTCGCCGCTTTCCGATATTTCCTCGGCTTGGAAGCCGAGTTCGTTGAGTGTGGCGACGAATCTGTTGTTGTACTCGGTTCGCAGCCCCTCGAGCTGCCGCCGTAAGATGCTCGATTCCTCTTGAAGCTTACGAATGCGCCGGTCTTTGTCTGCGATAGTGCCATTGATGTGGTTTACGCGAGGCTGAACGAACGCAATCGCTGCGTTAGCGTGAGCTACGTACGAGTCACTTGGCAACGTCAGCGACTCACCTGGTTTTGTACGGATCGGCATCGGTTAGCGAACTGTAGCGTGCCCAAACACTCTTCGTAGTGCTCTTTCATCGGGTGGATGGTTGCAATCAATGTAGTGAAACAATTGCCGCCTGTGCACATCGAGAGCGTCAGCAGCGTGACACATGATGTAACTCTGCTACAGACGAACCAATACTGTTCTGCAAGAGACGGGTAAGTTTCGAGTCTCGGTAAGGGATGTAGTTGTAGCCACTCTCTGGATCCAGCGACATGACAACTTTGCCTACAGCGCTTAAGCTCGAGTTAATATGCAGCGCCTCCTTCAACCGCTGGCCATCCGACTCGCTTTTCTTCAGTCGTTCCGATCTAAACTCCATTGAGCAGCAACAAGCATTAGCAACTGTACATTGACCAACACTCAGTGACATACATACCCGGCCAGATCGACCATGTTAAGCATCCCGGAGATAACTTCATCCGAATCCCGAGCTTCCAAAAGACATTCACGTTAGATACCCCATTTAAGTTCAATGTGCAGTTTATTCCAGCACCTTGCTGAAAAACGTGGATGGTGAAAACCGTGTGCGAGCGAGACGACACCGCGTTCATTTTCGTTTCGTGTGTGGATCGCAGTTTCAGGCCACACTGCACAATGGCATCCACCTCCTCCCTCGAAGTTACGGTGACCATGGATAGATCTTTCACGAACACCCGGCCTTGAGCATCCTCATGTATCTCAAAATTTGCTTTAAACGCATACAGTCAGAATGAATGTGTACATCATTGAGGCATGAAAAGCTCTGACCTTTTTCGTAGTCGTAGTCTTCCTCTCCTCTCGAAGGGAAGCTGCAATAGTACAAGCAAGTGAATAAACTATGCAATAGATACTACGCTGTGGTGAAGTCTTACCTAGTCGCGCTCTCGCTTCGAGGGATCTGTTGGTTTTGCTGCTCGAAAATTGTGGATTAGACGGAAGCTTTTAGGATATTTACGAAATACTTTATCTTACTTGACGAAGAAACCATTCGGTACTGCTCGACGTCTGGTATGACACCGGTCTACCTGTCTTCTTAAGATAGCTGCATAATTTCTTAACAGCCTTCAGCAAATAACGCTTCATCTCTACGGCACTTACGCTCGTGCAAGATCTCGGACACGATCACAGTAGATCTCCAGAAAGCTGACAGCTAGAGTCACTCCCTACTCAACAAAAAAAACAATTTACTTTAGCATCTAGGAAGTACGTGCTCCAAATTATAGACAAGGAATACTCACGCACTTTGAATTTGGTCTGCTGACGATTTACCATGTCAAAGAGGTACTCAATTGACCGTGACAGTAGACCAACTTTTTCTCCCCCCGCTTCACCGAATATGCTAAAGCAACGTTATCGTTATTTTATCATATCCTACTGGAACGCACTCGATGATATTTACCTGAAAGTTTTCCCTGATCCGGTCTGTCCATAGGCAAAACAACAGCTGTTGATGCCCTTCAACGAGTAGTCCACCAAACACTTGCTCGTCTGAAGACAGAGGGGTTAGAAGTGGTCCCAAGCAGCTACGGGGACATAATTATAACTTTCTACCGCTTCAAACAAGGTGTCTTGAGTTGTATCCGTCCAGTAGATCTATCATAGTATACAACAGGTTTTGCTAGCGTTAAGCATAGCAACCGACGTACAATTGCGATATCGGCCCTACATTGTCGAAGCTAAAAGCGTGATTTCCGTATTGCATTCGTTCCGTGTCCTGCGCAAGCACAACGACAATTCTAAGTCCCAATTGACAAGAATTATGCTTCACGAGTTCGGACCTTTATCACGATATTGTTCGGGGCTTCCTTCTTCCGTTCGAACATGTCTTCGGGAGCATTTTGGCCGTCAGCGCAGGGCCTCGCTCGAACATAAACCTGCAGTGGTTCCCTCATCTATTAGCGTTGAGTGGCTCCCAGGGGTTTCCTCTTTAGCTACCTTAACGTTCGCGTTCCCCAGCAACCGGGTATAGTCCGTCGTAACTTTGTGGTCCATTGCAATCCTCACGCGTTCTAGATGATCCAATGAATCGCCGCGATAGTGGCGACAAACTTTTGCAGAGGTTGCTGAAAGTGACGAGGGTGAGCTAGTGGAGTCTATTTATTCTTGTACGGTTCATTTTAAGGCGATCACAGGTTAAAATAAAACACGGTTTTTTTCAAAGTCATTCGCAGTCAAAATTGTGTTCAGTATCGTCACTGTGACAAGGTGATGTGAAGGCGTCACATCACACTGGATAATGAATGCCACGACCAGATTTGATTTCTAATTTCTTTTTCTATGCACGCGGAATCCGGGATAGCAAGTAGCCAGCTATTATATACTTACTGTAAATTAATAAGTCTTATTATTAAAAGCCACTACTTGCTAAACAGCTGCCCGCGTTTATCTTCTTCACAGTTGCTGTCTGCCCGCGTTTCTCCTCGGAGTTTTACTAAGCTTCATTGCGAAAACTGACGTCCTTGGTCCAATTTTGTCCACAATTAATTGCGTCCTTCCGAAACGTTTTCGACAGTAAAGCGGATGCAAGTGAGTGGTGATTTCACTGTCATGGTCAAACTAGAGACGTCTACGAAGCAACAGAGCTCAGGGAGCAAAGGACGTGTGTCACCAATTAGTGTACGCTTCGCAACGCCTCCTCCTTGTGGAGTATCGTCGATAGAATACCAGGACGAGCTCGGAGGAATGAGCCCAAGCGCAAAAGACCCAGCCGCTTTTAAAGACGCGCCTGAAGCTAAGCGAGCAAGACGGACAGCGATTGAAAAGAAATCGAGACAACGAAGGCAGGGAGTTTTAAAGCGAATGCGAGAAGAAGTCAAGCAATTGGAGAACATGTATGTAGAGATGGCTAAGCGGAAGGAAGTTGGGATCCCTACAAGTCTCAAACAGTGGCAAGGCGTCGGCGACGTAAGTTCCACCAGTATGAACGAGCTGCAACACAAATACTCAGAGCTTACGTTGGTGGCACACGCTCTCGAGCAAGACCAAGCAGCTCTCCAGAATCTCTTACAAGAACACAAAAACTCAAGCCGATCAATCAGCGGCGTGTTGGACGAGAGACGAGACGAGGATGCTTTCGCGATCTGGGATAGTGGTGTGCCTCCTAGCTCTTCTTTCGCTGCCAGGTTCCGTCCTCTTTCGATGGCAGAGGGTTACACTCTCGTACGCGAATCGTACGAAGAGATCCGTAGATTTACGGAAAGTGAAGACTTTGACACGACAGGAGCGAGTTTTATGGGCTGGACAGACAAACGCAAATTCGACCAAAACTCGCAGACTTTTGAGTACAGTTTCACCAAACACTTCCCATTCGAGAAAACCGAGAACGTTTTGGCCAAGAGCTGGCGCACCTTTTTGGATGGACCCAAACTGGAGAATTTGGCATTTGGTACCTCCGCTCAAGGTCGATTTGAAGTGCTGCAGGTGCTGAATGACGACTTGTTGATCATCCGTCGAGACCACCAGATGCCTAGGTTTCCGATGACCTTCACCTCGATCCAAGTCCTGTTTCGTCTGCAGACGCCTACCGGTTACACTTTGTGTATCCGCTCGATCGCGTCACCAGAAATCAAGAACGCGCTTGAGCCCCACGAATGTTCGATTGACTTCTTCCACTGGTAAGCTTGCAGATCGAGACTTTATTTTGCTAGGCGTGCACGTTCTTAACCCTCTGTACTTACACATACTTCAGGACCCACTTTAACCGCTTGTACAACGAATACGATGAACCAGCAGGATGCGAGGTCGTGACAGCGGGGTCTATCAACGATCACAACCGTCTCAAGTCTGCTTACTGGCTATTCGAGATCGCCTGCTCAGTTTTGCGCTGGGAGACCTTAACTATAGCCCCAGTGTTTTTGATTCCGACACAATAAGCTTATCATGTGTATGAAATCTAGCACCTGTAACGTTTAGCTATTGCTTTAGCTTACATGTTTCTCTTTTTGTTGACTCATTTTGCATGAGTCAACAAAAAAAAAGAGTCACTCAAAAGCATGGTTCGGCCGGTTTTTATGCGTGGACATACAAGTACAGTACCTCTCATTCAAGCTTACAAATGGATAGCCCACATTTACGCAGAGTTCGCTCGTAGATAGTTTTAGCAATAACGTCGCCATGTAAACAATACCAAGAACACCAGTCATTTGAGATCCACGGCTACAGACTGCATCGCCACCACCCCCCACCTATGGTGTTTGCTGGGACGGGTTCGTATGTGAGAGTTTTTTTTTGTCTTCCTGGACTTCTTGTGTCTTCGCATCATTATTTTTTATAGTCCGCCAATCTAACGCAGACGGCGACGGAAGGCAGCAACACGAGGTCCACTTTAAGTCTTTTAAGCTGAGGACCTCAAGTTAAGGTACATACCACCCTCAAGGATGTGCAATCATCAAGACTTGACTGTTGTACGTCAAGTACATGTACTTGTACACGTACTTCGAAGAATTGTACATGTACCGGATCCATGCATTTCCTGCTAGAGTATCACTTGTAAAATACAGTACCCGCGCATTGAATGCTCGGGTACATGTACTTCATCGGAAATGAGCTTTTATGATGACGATGAGGAAGGTGGACTTCATCGTTTTTTAATGCCATTTAAACGGCATGTTTCCGTTTTTTTGCAGAAAAACTGATTTAATAAATAATTTTCAAAATCGTTTTGTCTGCGATTTAGTGCTTGCATCATTCTGGCATACATGTATTAATACATGTATTAAAATACGCTACGAGGCGAGTTTCTTCTAAAATCCTTCGGTGGTCGTACAGTTCTAAATAATTACGACGCTATTTTAGAACTGGCCGTTCTGACGGGTTGACACTTTGCTAGCCGCAAGCCCTCACCCTTGCATACTGTATGCAGTGATCTGAGCGCTACGAAATTTAGGACTATACACAGGATACTTCCCGAAATATGTTTACTCTTAAAAAAACCGTTCCAAATTTTTCCTCAGCTGGCAAGTGACTTGACACCATTTGCTCCCATTCCTTCGGGCACTTTCCCTCTGGCGCCAGCCTGAAAAGCCGGACCAACGTCAAAGTTTTTTTAAGGCAATTCCCAATCCGTTGCCACCAGATCACCTTCACTACCATGTCGACAAGTGCGGACTTGCCGGACCCGCAGGAGCTCACAGCGCTGCCGCCTCTGTCCCCCACCATGGAGCGTGCCTTCTCCGAGGCCTTCGCGGACATGTCGGAGCTTGAGAAGAGCGAGGACGCCACTGTCATAAAACTGGAGACGCCGTCGGACGCTCTACAGCCGCAGTGGCCGGCCAGTGACGACGACACGCCGTTCACCAAGAAACACGCAGCTTCGTCACCGTCTCCAGACAACCAACAAAGACACAATAGTGAAATCCGCAGCATGAGTCCCAGTGGGTCCAAGAAACAGACAGCAAAGGACTCAGTCGAAGCCAAGCGTGCAAGACGCTCCGCCATTGAGAAAAAGTCGAGGCAAAGGCGTCAAAGTATTCTCAAAAGGATGAGGGACGAGGTCAAGCACCTGGAAACGCTTTACACTGATATGGCCAACAGGAAAGAGACAGGAGCATGGTCCAGTAGCTTGGAGAAACAGGCACAGAAATGCTGTGGGAATAGTGCAGTGATGGACGAGCTCCAGCAGAAATACTCAGAGCTGACGCTGGTGGCTCATGCACTGGAAGAGGATCAGGAAGATCTGCAAAAACTGCTTCAGCAGCATGAAGAGTTCCAGAAGGCGGTCAGGAGCCTGTCGGACGAAGACATGGAAGAGAGGAACCGCATCTGGGACACTGGAGTACCGCCTAGTGCGTCCTTTAAGGCGAGATTTAAGACGCTGACTATGGCAGAGTGCTACGCACTGGTACGCGAGTCGCACGAGGAGATTCAGAGATTTAGCGACGCTGAGCACTTCGAGACAACAGGAGCGAACTTCATGGGCTGGACAGATAAAAGGAAGTACGACTCGAGGACAGGGTCACTTCAGTATGCATTTACGAAAAAGTTCCCACTTGAGTCTCCTGAGGGTCTGCTTATGAGTACCTGGGACATTTTCTTGGATGCCTCCAAGTTTAAAGACATGTCGTTTGACAGATCGGTGAACACGCGGTACCAAGTGCTGCAACAGATGAATGACGACCTGCGAATTGTCCGGCGGGATCACAGGATCCCGAATATTGAGATGACGTTCGCCACGGTTCAGATTATTTTCCGCCTGCAGACTCCTACAGGCTACACATTGTGCATGCGTACGATCCCCGCACCCGAAATTCAAGGCGTCCAGGACCAACACGAATATTTTTACGACGTTTACCACTGGTACGGATCAACCCAAATTGATTTTTTTTGCAGTTCTGTGATGGGTTGATTTTTTTTTTGACATTTTGGGTGCGTTTACTTTTGCAGGACACATTTCAATCGACTGTATGATGAGTTCGGCAACCCTGCGGGATGCGAGATTGTTGCAGCAGGCTCCATCGCCGACCAGAATCAGCTCAAGTCTACGTATTGGCTGTTCGAGCTCGTGTGTTCCATTTTGCGCTGGGAGACAGCGTGCGTCGCGCCGCTGTTCCTCAAGCAGATTTAGCCACATACTTCATCAGTATTAGAAACTCACTACTGCGTAGTACACCATCTATGGTTGTTGCATGATGCACCAACTCCAAATTCACTGCCACAATTGCCATCAGCTTTGCTGCTTGAAATGCTTTCAACTTGTGAAAATTTCAAGAGCAACTTTTCGGCTAGTATAAAAAGGTCCGACGTCGGTCCCAATTGAATGTCATACATCCCGATCACCAGAGCGCAGAGAGCACCAACACTCTCGGAGTTGGATGCTGAAAAAGAAAGCAAGGCAAAACGTGATGCCCTCTGTGCCCCACGAAGAGGACGATGCGGCCGTCCTGCTAGACTTACTGGAGATGGAGACGCTGCCGCCTCTGTCGCCGACGATGCAGCGCGCTTTTTTCGAGGCCATCGCCGACGAAGAGGGGGACGAGGCAGTCAGTCTTCGTCAAAGTGAAGCGCCATGGACCTCGCCGTCGGAGTTGTGTTCACCGAGCTTGGAAGCGATGACTACTGAGTGGCAAGAAGACGTGACAACGATGAGTCCAAGTGAGTCGAAGACAGGAGCGAATGACTTGCCAGAGGACAGAAGAGCTCGACGCTCGGCGATCGAGAAGAAGTCGAGGCAAAGAAGGCAACACGTTCTCAGACGCATGCGCCAGGAGGTGAAGCAGCTGGAAAATGTGTTCACAGAGATGACCAAAAGGCAAGAGGCAACTCTGACGCCAAATAATACCAAATTGCAGCACAACTACTCGCAGTTGTCGCTGGTAACACAGGCCCTCGAGGAAGATCGCGCCAAGATGCTGAAGTTATTAGAGAGCCATGAGTTGTTTCAACGCACAGCTGATGCGATGGCGAGAAGAGGCTCCAGTCGTCGTGAAACGTTAACAAACCAGAGCCACAAGGACGATTTCGTGTGGGACACAGGGGTACCTCCGTCGTCTTCCTTCGCGGTGCAAATTCGCCAACGCTCGTCTGCAGAATGCTACGAACTCGTTCGCGAGACGTATGAAACCATCAAACGCTTCGATGACGGTGGGCAATTCGTATCGACAGGTGCGAACTTCATGGGCTGGACAGACAAACGCAAATACGACGAGTCTCGAGCGCTGCAATACGGTTTTGCCAAGACTTTCCCACTGGAAAGCGCCGAGAAACTGATCATGCAGACGTGGGACGTCTTCTGCCATGCCGATAGCATGGCGCATTTGTCGTTCAACGCGTCGGTCATCCACCGGTTCCAGATCGTTCAGACACTAGGCGACGACCTCTGTATCATCCGGCGAGACCATAAATTCCCCAACTTGCCACTAAACTTCCTTACTGTGCACATTGTGTTTCGACTGGAGACACCTTCAGGCTACACGCTATGCATGCGAACTATCCCGACGCCCGAGCTCATGGAGGCCTTGGAGCCGCATGAGTTATACTACGACGTCTTCCACTGGTACGTCATACAAAGACCTTTTGACGTGGGTTTTATCGTTGTCTCTCACACTTTTCCATTAGGACCCACTTCAACCACGCCTTTGACGAGGATGGCAAGCCCGCAGGCTGTGAGATCTCGACGGGCGGCTACATTGCCGACGTGAAGCAACTCGTGTCCAAATACTGGCTGTTTGAGTTGGTCATGTCAGTGCTGCGCTGGGAGAACATGTGCGTGGCTCCACTGTTCCTCAAGTGCGTGTGATATCCGGCAACACGTTCATTGACACTTTGACACTTTCATTGACACTAAAAAACACATTAAACCCAAGGTGCCAGCAATATGTTGCCTTAACTTCGTCACCACTTTACAAATTGCCTTCGAAAGCTTCAGCATTAGTCCACTCATCATCGCATCCACGTGCCGGCAACTGGTGTTTCATCCAATCACGATGCACCCTTCTCGCCCCCCCCCCCGCCAGCTTCCGATGACGCAATTCATAAATCGCAGGTCAAGTGAAGTGAACGCTGCTCTCTGTGCGCGCCTGCCGTCAAGACCAGGTGTACATGTACGTTGCAGGTTCGTTTTCTGTGGCCAAAAGCGACGGGCTCATCTTGTTGCACCTGTTTTTCGGTGCGCAAGGTCAGATCCCTCGATGGAAATCGTCACTCAGCAGTCGCAACTGCTCGAAAACGAGGTCGACAATATTCTTGGCGTTTCGGCCACTGACGAGACGCACAAGCCCGTCAAAAAGAGAAGCGGTGCCAAAGGCAAATCCGCAGATGCCAACGCAAATTCCGCGCGACGCGCGCGCCGCTCTGAGATCGAGAAGAAGTCGCGGCAGCGGCGACAGGTCCGTTAAGCTCGGGCAACATTGAAGTACTGTAGTTGACGCTGAGCCGACTTTTACGCTGTTTGCAGGGCTCGATCAAAGTGATGCGAGACGAAATGAAAGTGCTCGAGCGCGAGTATCTGCGTCTGGCAACACGCGCGGCAACGGCGTCCAGTGACGCCACTTCGGAAGAAGACGCTAGCGACAACGACCAGCACGAACGCGGCATCCTATTGGACCCGACGCAGGTGCAGACACTGCGCAAAAAGTTCCTCCGTCTCTCGTCGGAAGCGGCTGCGCTGCGTAAAGAACAGAAACAACTACACAAGATCCTGAACGTGCAGCAACTTTTCCGTGACTCTTCCCAGGCGCTGGCTGCGGAATTCACAGGATCGGACTGTGATCCGAGGCTGAATGCCGTGCACCACGCGCACTTCGAGCCCTTGGCAACTGAAACGTGCTTTTCCATCATGCGCGACTCGTACGACGTCATCACGCGGTTCGAAGCGGGCCAGGACTTTGTTACGACCGGATCGTCGCTCTTTGGGTGGAGCGACCGGCGTCGCCTGGACGACGACGAGTCCAAGATGATTTTCTGCTTCCGTAAAATGTTCGAGAACCAGAGCTGCGAGCGCCTCATGGAGGAATCCTGGCGCACTTTTTCCGATCTAGAATTTATGCGCCGTGTGGTATTTTCCTCCAAAGTGGGTCTAGATCTCGAGATCTTGCAGGTGGTGAACCGCGACGCGCTTGTGGTGCGTCGCCACACCAACTATCGCGCCATGGGACGTAGTTTCCACACAGTCTACTTGTTGTTCCGACTGCAGACTGCAAATGGCTACACCGTGTGTTTCCGCACGATTCCAGCACCGGGCATCCAGCAGGCACTGGGTGAGGGAGAGGCGTGGATCGATCTCTTTCATTGGACGACTCTGTCGCGCGTACCAGATGCAGACGGTGTGCTCACGGGCTGCGAGATCTCGTTCGGTGGGTCGATTGGCGCTGGTGTGATGAATTTTGCGGCACACTGGATGCTCGAGCTCATTATGACCGTTGTGCGCTGGGAAAACGCTTGTGTGGCCCCTCTCTTTATCAAGTAGGCTGTAGGTAGTTTGAGTCGCTGCATGCGCTACGCTCACGGGTTTCAATTCATGTTACACAAGCGAAACTTGTACATGTATTTGAATGTAGCCATCTTCAGTCTCATATCGCTGTATCCATGTTCAGGTGGATTTTCGCAGCGACTGCTGAAGATCTTCAGCTGCCGCAATTGAGACCGGCGCAGGGCTGATGATGGTTTTGTATGACCATGAACGCAATGTGGCTTTGCTCGATGCGATACGTATGTGTTTGACAAGCTTCCCGCCTCGATCTCACCTGAGAACGCGCACGCGGTGCCGCTACTGAAATGGCGTCCGGCACAATTGACGTTTGCTGTATTTCGCTACATCGAGTGGAAGAGCTCGACGCACGCAACAATTGTGCTCGATACACACATAAATATCACAGTAATACATGTTCATGTAACGTTATGAGAGAATTTTGCGCGTCAGTAATTGACAAGGCTATGCATACCGGTACAATGCATTTGAAAGCACCGAGGTAAACCTTCCGCAGGCCATGCCACCAAGTGCAGTACATGTAATCTCTTGACAAGCTTCACTTGCACTGGATTTTCATTTGATGATGGACTGACTCTTTTCGGGCTCCCCATTGGTCAAAATTCGTTTCGAATGGACACTCATCGTTTTTTTGCACCTCAATGAAACTGACTACCTCTTCTTACTGAGCTCCAGTTTATTTGCTTCGGCAATTGCGTGAGGCCATGCTTGTGAAATCATTTCCCGTTTTCCGTTCCCGGACTCAAGCGGAAGACTCAAAAGACAACCAAGATGGAAGACGAATGTGATATGCTCGAGTGCTGCCTGTGCGGTGCCCTCTGCGGTGCCTGCTGTGCCTCCGCTGCAGACTCTGGCGACGACCGCCGCCGCAACGGCCGCTACTCGGACGACTACCGCAACCAGCAGCCTGTGTATGTGCAGCCAGTGGTTGTGCAGCAGCAGCCGGGATACGGCCCACCTCCAGGACAGCCAGGTTACGCTTCGCCCCCACAGGGTTACGCACCTCCTCCTGGAGAGTACCATCAGTACCCGCCGCAACAGTACCCTCCGGGACAGTATCCGCCCCAGCAGTATCCGCCGCAGCAGTACCCGCCCAAGTACTGAGAAAATGACGGCGCGACAGTCAAGAGGAAGACTCACAAATCACTTGACTGAAGAGAGGGAGTCCCCACACACTCGGAATGGATCGAACGGACTGAGAAGAGGGGTCACAAGAGATAATGATGCAGTGAAGTTAATTGTTGAGTTTCGTCTTGATAAGACGCACTGAAGACACGCTGACGATGGCGTAGGTGTGAGATAAACTACTAAGATTATATGATTGTTGTTGCCTTTATCCTAGTGAGCTTTTTAACGTTTGTTTGGCGTATGTTGTGATGCTCATTGCCGTACTGAAAGCATATTACACCACGTAAGTACAGATTCAACTCCCATAAATGATGCTCTACCATTTAATATCGCGTGATAAAGATGATCAAAAATCGCGATTTCTCAACCTCCCAGTTTTGCTGATCGGGATTCAGTACATTCTCTAGTGCTACTATTAATACACTAGCAGAGCGCCGCTGCTACGCGGTGGTAGATTAGGTTAAGTTCTACTTGTTTTGGCCTTCCTGCCTCCGCTACGCTTCGGCGGGTTAAGTATTACAAAATGCTAGGCCCCCCTATGCGCCTCGATATTTTTAAATTATTAAGCTATCTGGGTCAGCATCATGCTTACCTAATTCAAAAAATATATTCTAATTATCCTGAATCAAGATTCTTACTACAACCTCTTGATTATTGTTGGTTATCACTGTATCTTCATCTTCCACCCAAAAGCACCTGCACTTCAAATAACACTTATACAAACGCTACACAATATGTTTAGTTTAGCGTCGTGCTCGATACCACGGGCCGTTTCTGAGCCATGAAACTTAGCTCACATCAACGCAAAAGATAGTAAAGGCGTGTTCAGCTTGCCCTACTTACCCGCTTGTACTGCCTGTTTAATACCGTATTGTTAGTAGCTTAAGATTGATCACTTCTCATACCAAACTCAATGAAAAACAAAGCAATATTCAATTTTGTACAGTTTAATACTTTTAGCGCTCATTTTGTGCTGATTCATAATGAGTCATTAGACACTAATCTGTGCCAGTTATGATGAAAGCATCTAGATAATGCGTCACAAGATGCCTTGCTGTTGTTATTGTTGACGGCGGTGTTTTTTTATTTGATAGTTTAACGATGATTCCAGGAAAGTTAAACGTCATTTAGGCTTAAATTAACGTTTCTTTATGAAATCTACTTGACCAACTATATTTAACACCTCTCGTGTTTTGTTGTTGTCTTACCGCTCCATTTAAAATCGTATCCTACGCCCTTGTCGGCGACACGTCCACCCGTTATGTAGTATCGGATTTTGCTGTCTAAACAACTCTTAGAAAACAATGATTTACAGCAGTAACACATATGAGTTTATTTTATTGAATCTAAAACTATCTATCTTTATGGATCAAGCGACAACGTTTATTAGAAGCGTTGTTTTTACGGTCAGTTCTTATGGCCAGCTTCTGTTGTACATGTACTACGATTTGGTAGCTCAGTCACCTCACTCTCAGATTTATTAATATTTCTGCAACAAAACAGTTGTAGTTATTAAAGTCATTGTAATTTAAGAAACTATTATGTACAGAGTACTACAAATTTTATAGTATGGCCTCGAATTCCTACGTGTACGCTAAGCACCCTGCAGCTAAGGAAGCGTATTTTAATTGAGAATAAGTAGCTCTGTCTGTTTCGCACGACGTTAAGATATTATTTGAACTTTCCAACAATGTACGTTGTGTACATCAAACAAAATGGAAACAGCGTTTGTGATTAAGTTGGCGCGAATGCAAATGTCTAAGCAAGGACACGAAACACGATGGGATAGAAGAGCAACACGAAGCACGGAAGGTCATGGACGGTGATTGAAGATTTAGCCGATGCAAACCACGAAGTGTTTTACGTAGCGTGAAAGATGGAAGTGCACGCAGCCATGAAAAGGACAGAAGGACAAGAATATGACGGGAGCGTACGGGCCACAGAAGGGAACTTAATACGTAGACACCCCAGCATGCCGGAATGCACGGACTACGAAAGAGCACGCACGCTCGAAGCCACGGTAGAACACGTACCGGTGAGAGCGCACAGAAACAATTCTCCAGCAACACCACGGGTAGACATGGAGCACAGTCAACCGACCAAACCTGAGCCCGCAGGAGGCCAGATACGGGAAATCAGAAATCATTAATCTTTGGAGCACGATGCCTAGGAAGAACATGAGCTCACCGATCCACGGAGCGCGGCACTACGGTAGCTAACGATAAGACAGACGACAGCCCAGCCCCGACACCAGAGATAACACGACAGCATGACGGTCAGCGAAGGCGGCCCCCATTGGCTAAAATCAACATTGTGTTTTGTACACACTGTATGTGGACTACACATCGTACTTAAAAGCACCGCTTAAATTTCATTTTGATCCAAGGCCACGCAAAGGGCGCTGCCTGTGTGCGCGTTAGTTAGCATTAGTATAAGGCGCCGATGGGCACACACGTACTATATCGTCGTAGGAGCTGTTATAAAAAATTGTAGGCTTTGGTGACTCATATTTCGGTTTCAATCGAAACTTTAGTACTTATTGGTTTTAGAATGATATTTTAGGCTTCATACTACTTTTCTAATAATAAAACTAACAAAACAGTTTAGAGTAGTATTATTCTAGATACAATATCATATTTTTCTTGCGGCTATTTGTAGTAATAGTACACATAATTATTATATCAGCGTTTGATAATAAATAACAATTGTATTACTATTAATAATAATGTGAATACTTTATAATAAGATTATTGTGGCTTACCCCTGCACCCCACACTGCCCCCGGGAAAAAGTATCATCTTCCGTTGAATCTGCGCGCGTAGTGTGCGACCTTAAGATATTGTGTGAGCTTCCAACAATATATGCTATGTATATCAAACAAAATCGGAACAGCGTTTGTGATTCAGCTAGCGCGGAGGCACGTGACTCAGCAAGAACACGAAACACGAAAGAACACCGACCCACACTATGTAGACGATGGAATAGAAGAGCAACACGAAGCACGGAAGGTCATGGACAATGATAGAAGACTTAGCTGATGCAAACCACAAAGTTGTATGGGTAGCGTGACAGGCGGAAGAGCACACAGCCATGAAAAGGACAGAAGGACAAGAATATGACGGGAGCGTACGGGCCACGGAAAGATACTAATTATATAGACACCCCAGCATGCTGAAAGGCACGACTACGGAAGAGCACGCACGTTCGAGACCACAGTAGAGCGCGTAGCGGTAATAGTGCACGGAAACGTATTCTCCAATAGCGCCACGGTGGAGCACGGAGCACATGGGAGGACCAAACACGTGGCCACGAGACACAAAGGGGGAATCACCGAGCATTAAAGCACGATACAAGGGTAGAACCGGAACTCACCAGGCCGCGGAGCGCGATACCACAGAAGAACACGATATCACAGACACCATACCAGCCACGAAATCACGAAGAACACGATAACGTGGACGGTGATCCAGCCACTAAAACATGGGAGAACGCAGCCACGGGAGCTATATATATAGACTGGGGATCACTGAACCACGGAACACGATACTACTGTAGAGCTTAAGATCACTGAGCCACGGAAAACGATTGTACTATTGCACGGACGGCGGATCAGGCATGGAAGCACGAGGGAGCGACCGCGATTGCAGACTACAAAGCACTATACCATTGTAGAGCACAGTAACACGGGCACCGCATATAAACTACGCGAGCACAAATGCATAGACAACAAAGCCACACCGCGAGTGCACGATAGCGCGATAACGCGGTCCATGGAGCCTCACGAGGAAAACACGTTACACGGACAACAAGACTGCATGGAGGTACCATCCCACGGAATCGGCCACGAATGACTATGTATCATGAAACCGGTGCCGCACACGTAAACGTTTGAGAGCAGGGAATAGTTAGCAGCCACTAAAGGAATCGTACTAAGGAGAGTGACCCCAAATAAGATAGCGCGTAACCACTAAGCAGCGTGTGCCACGGGTGAGCAAAGGACCTCGAAGCCAGGAAGATCACAAAAGAGCGCCGACCATTGAAGAACATGACATCCAACCTGTAGTACGGGGTACCAAACCACGATATTATACGGGTCCACATGAGACTACGGAATGGTAAGTGGTTAAGTACACGAAGCCAAAACCTACTGAGGTGAACGAGGCTAACACAGTACGCGACACCAAGAAGCACTTAAATTTGAGGTTACCGCATCTCCAACAAACCATGCCACTCCGCCGCGTAGCGGCGGCGAATGGCTAGTCTTACCCCTCTACTGGAGTGTAGTCTGCGTCCGTCCGTCCGTCAGTCCGTCCGTTACGGGCTAGGGTTCTATAATGTATAGCTCATACGCGCGTTCTACTGGCTGCCGAGCGCAGCGAAGGCGGCGTCGATTCGCTAAAATTGCAATATGTGGTGTACATATTATATGTGGTGTACATATTATATGTGGTCTACACATCGTACTTAAATGCATCGTTCAAATTTTATTTTGCCCCCATTTTCAAAACAGAAGCGCGGAACGCCACGTTACTCAAGGTACGCTGCGTGTACGCATGTTAGTTTACATTAGTAGCTAGCAAGACACACATACACAGATAGTCCGAGGTTCCTGGGGCTGCTTAGGGGGTAGCTTATAGCTTGCGGGATTTTATCCTGCAAGTAGGTAGCCGTGCTATGGGGATTAAGCTCTAGAGCCCTCTGGGTTCTTGGGGCTTTATCCCACCGCCCACTCTGCGCGAGAGCACATTTAGCACCTGGTCCATTGACCGCAAACCCGACAGCGAACCAGTTGTGCCGGTTGTTAATGGCTATTGATGGGCACGCACATTGCGTGCGTGCAGTTGGTCAGGAGGGGTACCGTAACTGGCCTATTTCAACCGACAGATGGGATGGGGGCTGTAATAGCCTATCAATAACCAGCCTTTGCAATTAACGGCCGCCTTTTGGCAAAAGGATATCGCACCTCAAGCTACAGTACTATCAGGGGGCCCAACCCTGAAGATTCGACTGCACAATTTGCAAACTAAAGCCGCTCCGGGCCTCACGGCCCGTGACTGTGGGATAAGTGATCGGAGATAACCTTGATGGGGGTACGCAATCCCGGATAGTACGCATATTTTAACACACTACTCTATGAAAACCTACTGCTACGTGCGGTGTACTTAGACATTGTCTAACGCGTCACGTTTTCGTGTTCGCAGAACTATG